CAACAATGAATGGCTGAGGCTGTGAAATGGCTTCGTGGAATGCGGCATTGCAATGCATCATGTTGACAACAGGCATGCTTGATAGTTTCTTCTTACAAAATGAACAATGGGAGTGTATCAGAAATAGGGAGACCTCACAATTCGACCTCCTGGAAGAAGGAAAATAGGCGGGCGGTGTCTCCGACGGTGTCTCCCAAACATGACGCAAAGGACGACCCACACATGCCGAGAAAGGATGATGCCTCCGCATCTTCGGTGGCCGGGCGATCATCCTCGCCTCCATCGGTCAAAGGTCAAATCTCGTTCGAAATTGGGCGAACATCCAATTGGCCTCGAATCCATCCACCCTGAACTCTGACATGTTTAAACCAACCTCTTTCTCAAAATACAGCTCGCACTCTCAAGTCGTTCTGCCTCTGGCTGTCATGGCGTGGTACTTTCCGCGGCATCTGTCACCTGGAGACGGTCGAACCGTCGATCTCGTTTTCCGCGAGAGAAGACATGCTCCAGGACTCCAAGAGAGAGGACATGACATGGTCAACCTGAGTCAACCTGGTCAACCTACAGACGCTACGAACGGGTCCTGGCCTTGCTACGAACGGAGCGATCGGACGCTAACCTGGTCAACCTACCAGGGTTTGGAGCTGGTGCCACCCACTGCCACGCTTGAAAATGACACTGCTCGGGCTAGTAGGCAGCATGTCCCACCTCTATTGCAGTTGGTGATGATTTGTTACCCATTCCACACCAAGTCTTCCAAAATAGTTGCTGGCAATTGGAATGAAAGTATACAAACACGTCAGCAATGCTACACAAGCGGAAGGTCTGCACGTCCAAGTCTTAAATAGGTTCTATCTTCCTATAAATTTTGGTTTATGACAAAGTGGGCATGTATCACAAGGCTGTTGGGCCTGTTGGGTGTATTCATGATGTCCCAAATGCAAACATCCCGGCGGAGGAAAACCGCGCGCGTGGTTGCGTCATCTTTGACTTCGTCTCAAAGTGTTCAGAACCTCCGAAACTGATGCGTTTGACACATTTCTATTGGGCAAAGGTCTCAAAATCAGCGCAATTCCACTGGGATTCAGTTTCATGTGTTCTTTCTTTGTGTGGTTACGATCATCTGTCATGAAAACAAGCTCAAAAGTTGAACCGTTATTTCGTGTGTTTCCATTTTCGTGGACAACGAAAGAAAAGGACGAAGACGGACTTGCTCGGAGCTTTGCTTTTGCACGACAGCCTTCAGGCTTTGCGAACGCCGCGTCTACGGGTCGGTACCGACCCGTCCCGATCGACAAACACATGTGGAAGCGACCAAAATGAGAGCGAAACGGTCACCACATGTGGAACCGGTGCACACGTGCCACGTTGGCTATACGCACGCATGTCATTCCTCACCACCCCACCCACACCAACGAGTACCTGAGTCACACCAACATGAATTCGGCAAATCCCAGTAGAACTGCGACGAAAAGGACAGAAAATTGACAATGATGTCATAGCAGCCAGTACAGGTGGACATGTAAAACGTACATAAACGCTGGAATTTACAACAACAATGACATCTTATCGACATGATGTATGTCCCAGCATGTCAGCGAACCTGAGTCATGGTGAAAAATGCGCACGACTACACGTACGGTTTTCCTGCCGTTGGCACAAACATGCACCATAATGCTTCCAGCAAAGTGTTGGAGCTACACTAGCAAGTCTCAAAAGACTTCCTTCCAGTTTGCTTCCCGATTGCACAAGCAACTACTAGGAGCAAGAAGCTACTAGGGAGCAAAGGGCAACGCTACTAGGAGCAAGAAGCTACTAGGGAGCAAAGGGCATCGCTACTAG